TCCGGGGGCGCGGCAGAGCGGGACCACGCTCTCTGAGGACCTAGACCAAGGGCATCTGAGCCAGCTGGGTGTGGGCGCCTCTTCCCCACCCTCTCCCAAGACTCCAGTAAATCCCCCAACTGGACCTGAGAGAAGCTTGGGCTTTGGGCAATGGTGGTCAGGGTGGTTGTCTGGTAGAATGAGCAGAGGTGGAGAGTGGAGGGGAGATGCCTTTGTGGGGAGGAGGGGCTGGAGGCAGTCAGATCCGCCTTGGTGGTCAACTATTAACCTGCAGGTCAACTATTAACGGGCAGGCCCTCCTCCCTTCCCCTCCCGGGCTGAGGTCTGGGGAAGTAGATTCAAGGGTAGGTGGACAGAGCTGGGGGTTCAGTGGGAACCAAGCCATCTTTAGGCTGAACTCTACACCCAGCTGGGAGGGGAAGGGTACAAATCCCTAGGCTTCAGATCCGCCAGATCTTGGGCCACAGAACACAGGGGACAGGGACGTTCCCCCTCCCCAGGCCCAGAGCATATTTTATAGGAGAGAAAGGGGGAGTCCCAGAGCTGCAGGACCCTGGCTGAGTCTGGCTCCCAGCTCTGCCAATACTGACTCCCCACTTCCTGAAACATGTCTGCTGCTGGGTTGGTGCTCAATAAATATTTGCTGAGTGAATGAATAAAAGAATATTTACTGGGAGGTGACTTGGCCCTGGGCCCTTACTGTACAGAGATGAATACAAGGTCGTGTGAACTTCAGGTGCTCCTGGCTACTCAGTACACGTCCTGTGTACCTGTGTGTGTGGGTGGGTGGGTGGGTGTGTGTTTGCACGTCAGGGTCCTCTGGCCTTTGCCCAGGTTGCTCCTCCAGCACCCCCTTGTGGCTCAACACACTTGCCAGTGCAACTTAGCAGCCTTGCTCCCCTGGGCAGTCTGGTAAGGACTCGGAGACCCACTTTTCTTTCCTGTTAAGACTTTCTTTTCTTTTTCAGGACATTTGTTTTAAGATATTTGGAGACCTACTCCCAGGTCGTAATGGGGCTGGGGGCTCAACATGGACCCTGCTCTCACGCTTGCCACAGGAGCCTCCGACACAGCAGCTTGAGGACACTGGCCCCAGCCTGGTAAACAGTGGCCCTGCACCCTTCCCAGGAAATGCTGCTCTTCCTGCTTATAACGTGCCAGCTTTATGGTGCTTCCCAGCTCTGCAAGGGCAGAGTTTGGATCAGTAACACCAGCAGCTGATGCCACACAGCAGGTGACTTCACTGGGTTGGCTGGGTCCCGCATGATAATGGAATAGCAGTGGCACTGAGGTGCGAGCTTCCAGAGCTGACTTCACTCTGAGGAAACTGAGGAAACAGCGAGGACCATGCTCAAGGTCACGGCAGCAGCCAAGCCTGGATCTGGGATTCAAGCCCAGGCAGTTGGGACCAGAATCCAATGTATTAGCCATTGTCGCTCAAGAATAAAACCACCACTTTTGGTATGTGTTTATTGGAAGTGATGAAGTAGTTTTGCAGGAGAAAACATTAGTTTCTTCATGTGAATATGTTGTGCTGCATTCTAAAATTTAGTAGGCTATTATGTATCTAAAACCTTCCTTAATGTTTGGCTAAACTTTATTCCAAGTAGAAGCCCAGTTACCTGGGGAAACTTGGGGGTTTCTGGGGTAGGGAAAAAGAGGTACATCAAATAGTCCAGCAAATGGCACATCTGATTCCTTAACCACTCTGTGGCTCTGAACTGTGAGCTGAGCAAAGAGAGAGGCAACCCTATCTGGGGCCCCCATGCCCCTCCACCTTCCCTCTCTGACAGAGCCTGTTCCTGCCACCACCCCACACTTGCAGAGCCTGCCCCAGGGCCTGGCTGGAGTGGGCGCCCTCTGTAGGGCAGTGTCACAGGAAGCCAGAACTGGCCAGGGCTAGGGACCATGCTTTGATGTGGGTGGTCTTGCTGTGAGGCCTCTGAAACAGAAAGGGGGGAGGAAAGAGAAAAGAGACCCCAGCTCCCAGGCTGGGCTGTTCAGTTGTCATGCAGCCATGTATTTTGGGGGGAGGCCAGTGGAGATGGATGTGGGTCACAGTGGAGCCCCTGACCTGGCCTGGGTGCAGATGGCACACTGATCATGACCAGGATCCTTTTCCATGGAGAAGGAAGGCCACCTCTCCAGGGTCTTGGTGAGAACATGCCCCCAGGGCAGACTGAACTCGCAGGGCAGTCTGCTGGGGCCAGCCGAGGGCTGTGTGTCCACGTGCCAACACTGTCTGTGTTTCAGCTGCGGCTGTGGTTGCGGTGGCCCCCTTCTGTTCATGCCCAGATGTGCCCAGGGCCATAGGAGAGCAGAGGACTCATTGGCAGCAGAGCTCACTGCCTGAAGGTCCAGCCCACTCTTCACGCACCAATGGCCAGTGCCACAGTGTGGACCCCAGCCAGATGGTGGGTCGGGGAATGAAACCCACATGTACCTTTAAGGGGCCTGAGATGCTCTGGTGAGTGGCACCAGACGCCACAGCCTCCAGGAGGTCAGTGTATCAGACCCCCGCACCTTTACCACGCCCCCAGGGGAGCCCTAACTGCAGTTAACTGCCTTGGGACAAGCGTTCTGGGGAGGCAGTGACCGGGGGCACTCAGGCCACTGCCGACTTTCTCAAGTCAAGGGCCTCCAGTGAGGCCAGCACCAGGTCACAGGGGTCTCCCAGAGCTGGAAGAGGTGGTGTGTCAGAGCAGGGGCAGAGCTGGGGCCAGCCAGGTTCTGGCTGAGCGGTGGACTTGGTGAGCTTAAGACACCCGCTGTCAGCTCATGCCCAGAGAACACAAGGGTGGCCAAGGACACCCCAGAATCTCCCATCTGACCGTCTGGCCCCTGCTCGCTGAAGACAGTGGTCTAACTTTGAGCAGCTCTTGGGCATCAGCAGAGCTGTGTGGAGTCTGTTCCTTCGCCTTGGGACCCAGCCCAGGTGACGCCTGGTGGCCCAGAGCCCACTGACCCACAGAGGTGTGTCCTCAGGTAGGGGCAGAGAGTAGACAACTGAGGCCCAGTGACACCTGCCTCCTCACCCAATGGGACAGCAGGCTGGGAGGGTAGGATCAGAGACGACATGGGGGGAAGCAAAGAGAGACAGAGGGAGAGAAAGACAGAGATAGGCAGAGGGAACGTTTTGCGACAGTGGAGTGAAGGGGTTTTACTCCAAATGGAAGATGCTTGGATATTTTCTGCTCTTTTGTGCCCAAAATATCAGGGTCCTCAGAACCCTCCTTCCCTGGTGCAAGTTGCCCAGCTTCATGTCTCCCGTGCAGGTGAAGCCTCCTTGGCATTTAACTATTCACTAAATCCTCAGATGTCTCCCAGGTGTTCATGAACTTACCCCTCACAGCCGCCCCCATGGGCCCATCTCAGGTCCATTTCCTGGAGGAGCCCACTGAGGCGCAGGGTCCAGTGACATGGTCTGGCTCCACCCAGCCTTCCAAGTGCACCCCTGGGCATGCAGCCTCCTGGGCCTGACACAGTCCCTGCCTTCACCACTTGCAGTCAGGGGCCCACGGTCCCCCAGGCAGAGGCAACAGGTGGCCCACGGGTGCCCAGGGCTGACTCTGCTGTGGCCCCCGCAGCAGGGAGAGGAGCTGGGCCCCAAAGCCACATCCCCATGTACATCTAGTGGGGCAAGAATGCCTGGTGACGGATGCAGTGGCTTCCATCATGAGCCTTCCTGTCAGCTGCCCTGACCACTGCCCCACCCTTGTCACCTCCCTCCCCACTGCCTGATCTCTGTCATTTGGATTCTGCAGCTCTCCTGCCTGCGGCCTCTCTACCACAGAACATGACCTGAGTCCTGGGAGGTTCCCACCTCCTCCATCTATGGCTCAGGGCCCACACCTGGAGAAGGGAGCACCTGGGGGGAGGAGCATCTAGGGAGAGGGGAGCATCTGGAGAGGAGAAGCACCTGGGGAGGAGGAGCATCTGGGGAGGAAGAGCATCTGGGGAGAGGGGAGCACCTGGGAAGGAGGAGCACCTGGGGAGGAAGAGATTCTGGGGAGAGGGGAGCACCTGGGAAGGAGGAGCACCTGGGGAGGAGGAACATCTGGGGAGAGGGGAGCATCTGGAGAGGAGGAGCACCTGGGGAGGAGGAACATCTGGGGAGAGGGGAGCATCTGGAGAGGAGGAGCACCTGGGGAGGAAGGGCACCTGGGGAGGAGCACTCCTGAAAGGGGAGCCCTGGGGGGTGGAGCAGCTGGGTATGGGAACACCTGAGGATGGGAGCTCCTAGGGAGGGAAGCATCTGGGAAAAGGATGGGGCCACATGGGGGGGGGGCAAGTGAAGGAGGAGAGCTGCCTTGGCTGGTGGTGGCTGACCTCTGGCTCCTGCTCAGCCCATGACCTCCTTCGAGGGTCGAGCACACGCTCCCTTCCATGAGCTGCTGAAGCCAGGCTTGGCTGCACAATGCTGAGTCTGCATCTCTATTTGGGGCCTCACAGGCCATCAAGCTCTGTTTCAGGG